GATGCGTGCATCTTAGGTTTGGGTGCAGTTTTGATGCAGAGAGGCCATATTATTGCTTACGCTTCGATGCTGTTGAAGCCTCACGAGGCGAATTACCCGACACATGATTTGGAGCTGGGGGATGTTTTGTTCGCCCTCAAGATTTGGCGTCTTTACCTCTATGGGGTTCGTTGTACCATTTACACGGACCACAAGAGTTTAGGGTACCTCATGGATCAACCGAATTTAAACATGAGGCAGCGTTGGTGGATTAATGTGGTAAAGGATTACGATTGTGAGATCCTCTACCATTCGGGGAAGGCCAATGTTGTGGCCGATGCGCTTAGCCGCAAGGCGGCATCGATCAGGGACATCTATCTGAGGATGACATTTGTGAATCCGTTGTTGGAGCAGATCCAAGAGGCCCAGCAGGAGGCCATGAAGGAGGAACATCAGAAGAGTGAGAGGATTGTGGGTCAGGTTTCCTCCTTCGACTATGATAGCTGAGGATTGTTGACCCTACACCGCAGGGTGTGGGTTCCATACCACTGGGGTGTGTGCCAGGTCTTGATGGAAGTGGCGTACAAATCCCGATTCTCCATTCATCCTGGGGAAACGAAGATGTATAGGGATCTTCGTCTAGACTATTGGTGGCCCTGCATGTAGCGGGACGTAGCATGGTATCTGGAGTGATGCTTGACTTGCAGGAAGGTCAAGGCCGAGCACCAGAGGCACACGACAAGATGCAGCCATTGGATATTCCCCTGTGGAAGTCGGAAGATATTACCATAGACTTCATCACCAAACTTCCCAGGACCGCGTGGGGAGTGGATTCCATATGGGTCGTCGTGGATCGGTTGACCAAAAGTGCCCATTTCATACCGATCCAGGAGAGTATCTCGGTCGAGAAGTTCGCCGACATCTACATTCGAGAGGTGGTGGCTCGACACGGAGTTCCAGTCTCTGTGGTTTATGACAGGGATGTACGATTCACTTCCAGGTTATGGAAGAAATTCCATGAAGAGTTGGGTACTCTTCTTCACTTTAGCACTGCATTCCACCCGCAGACAGATGGTTAGAGCGAGCAGACCATCCAAACTCTAGAAGATATGCTGCGAGCGTGTATGTTAGACTTTGGTGGTAGTTGGGATACTTATCTCCCATTGGCTGAGTTCTCGTACAACAACAGCTACCATGCGAGTATTGACCGTCCTCCCTTCGAGATATTATACGGGAGGAAGTGTACGACTCTGATATGTTGGGGTGAGGTTGGCCAGAGGGTCGTGAGGAGCACCAAAGTGGTGCTCAAGATGACAGAGAAGGTTCAACAGGCCCGGGGCAGGGTTCAAACTGCTCAGAGTCGGCATAAAAGTTATGCTGACAAGGGTCGTTCAGACATGGAGTTCCAGGTCGGGGATATGGTTCTCCTGAAGGTGTCTCCATGTAAGGGTGTCATCCGATTCAGGAAACAGGACAAGTTGGGCCCCTGGTACATTGGATCGTTTAGGTTTTTATCACGGGTGGGCAAGGTGGCGTACAGGCTGGATCTGCCAACCGAACTTAGTCAGATCCACAACACTTTTCCACATCTTCCTGCTGTGGAAGTTCCTGGTGGACGACTCAGCAGTGGTGCCCTTAGAGAATATTCATGTCGATGACAACCTGAATTACATTGAGCGGCCTATGGTGATCCTTGACCGGATGTCGATGGATATGAGGAACAAGAAGATCGAGCTGGTGAAGGTGCAATGGCAGCACCGGAAGGGCTCAAAATGGACTTGTGAGCCGGTGGATGAGATGTTGGAGCATTACCCAAAGCTTTTCCAGAAATGAGCAGTAGACTTTGAGGACGAAGTCTAAATTAATTGGGTGAGATTTGTAGCACCCGATTCTGGGTATGTATTTTATTCAAGTATATTTCTCATTTTGACCTAGAACTCGGCGAGTTGGTGGCCCAACTCGTCGAGTAGAAGTGGATTCAACACGGGAGTTAAGGAGTGACTCGATGAGTCGGCGCCAGGACTCGATGAGTCCACACTGTGTGGACAATACCCTAATCTTAGGGGTTTGCACCCTATTTAAATGTCTCATTTAACCACCTTTCTTCCTTATTGTTTGCAGAACACTCCATACTGACCCTAGTTGTGTGTGTGTGTGTGAAGATCTAAAGGCTTTTGAGTGATCTTGGTGGTTGGTGATCAAAGGACAAAAGGGAAGGCTTGAGGAAACAAGAAGAGGCCAAAGGATACCGAGCTTAAGCATCATTCACAACTCATCTGAGGTTAGATGTTATGTGATATTCATCTAGGTTAGGAGTTGTATGTTAGATGATTGTCTTTGTGATATTCATCTAGGTTTGCGGCTACCTATTATGTTTTATGTGCTAGCATGTTATGATGTCATGTGATAGTGGTAGTAGGGGTGAAATAGTCCCCGGTTACCGGTCGATAGGACCGAAGGGGTAGTTTAGTACTCAGCCATGCTAGCCAGATTATGATATATGTGATATGATATTCTGTGGTAGTAGTAGGGGTGAAATAGTCCCCGGTTACCGGTTGATAGGACTGAAGGGGTAGGTCAACACCTAGATATGCTAGGCAGTATCCGGTCGACAGGACTGAAGGAGAGGCTAACACCCAGATATGCTAGGCAGTATCCGGTCGACAGGACCGAAGGGGTAGGCCAGCACCCAGATATGCTATGCATTTTCCGGTCAATAGGACCGAAGGGGTAGGTCGGGCACCCAGATATGCCTGACAGTATATGTATGTTATCTGATTGTATGGTATGTGGTAAGATGAGGGAACTCACTAAGCTTCGTGCTTACAGTTTACAATTTTGGTTTCATGTACCTCTTCAGCGAAGGGGAAGGAGCTGGCGTGGTAGCAACACATCATACACACATGCATTGGTTTTCCGTACTTGAGCTATTCTGGAATTGTACTCTGACATGTTACTATTTTATGATTTGGGTCTTCAGACATGATATATTGATTTACGAAATGATATATTTTTACATGAATGTTTTTATAATCAGTTAATTGAAATGAAATTTTTGGACTCAAAATTTGGGACGTTACATTAGCTCTGAAATTCCCTAATGCATCAGAGACTTGACGCTGAATCATGGTCTGAATGGTGGTCAGGTCAATCAAGGTTAACATAGCATGGTTGTTGTCCGGAAATAGCGGAAAGAAGGTTATTTGGTATTCCTAATGGGTTAAAACTAGTTTTCTATTTGTAGGGTTCTACAGTTGCTCTCCTAGCAACCTATCTTATTATCTCTTTAATAATTAAAGATTTATTTTCATTCTTATTATGATGTCAATCTATAATTTAATGATTATTGCAATGCTAATGTTGCTTCCCTCACAACCTATATAATTTACTGATTATAACATGCTACACTTTCTTCCTTAGTAACCTATATAATTTACTGATTTATAGCATGCTACTACTGTTGCTTCCCTAGAAACCTATTAAAACTTACTGATTAATAGCATGCTATTTTTGCTTCCCCAGCAACCTATTAAAATTTACTGATTTATAGCATGCTACTATTGCTTCCCTAGAAACCTATTAAAACTTACTAATTTATAGCATGCTATTGTTGTATCCCCAACAACATATTAAAAATTACTGATTTATAGCATGCTACTATTGCTTCCCTAGCAACCTATTTATGAATGAATTTTCCTACTACTTCAAGGAAATCCTTCTCCCTTGCCCTTAATCTTTTAATTAAATTAAACTCTTAAAGGTTTCTAGTATCTATGGTATCTAATGGGTTTTGGGGATGAAAAGGGTTGATTTTAAAAATCTTCATCATGCACGTCGGGCACACGATACGTACATCTCACACCTACAGATCTGCATTAAAGTCAAATTTTGGATTCATTTGAACTTTTCCCAAACATTCATTCTCTCTTTCTGGATTGTCTCCGAGTAGGTCCCACGCACGTCGCACACTTCGCGCGCCTACCTTCATTCTTCGTTTTCTTCATTTCATTCGATCACTCTATTCTTAGTTAACTCCTATACTGATCATCAACTAAAATTTTGGGCTAAATTTTGAGTTTTTAGGGTTTTAGGATGTTTTTTTGAATCAGTGATTTGGTATTAGTTTTCATGAAATAGATGATCCCTAAATCATCTTATACAACCGACTTTACTACATATATACTCAATTTTGGGTTTAATTCATCTATTGTTTCTCATTTTAAGTTTTTAGATTTTCGAAAATTCCTAACGAAATCTACAATTTGGTGTTGTTTTGGATGAAATGAGATACCTACATGTGTTGTAGAGGACTAGACGAACACCCCTACATGATATTTAGGTTGAAATTTAGACGGAACAACAGTTTGCCATGCATGTTGTTCTTCGTGTTCTTGAGGCGTGACACACAGATGCATGTGTATAGCGTGCATCTAATCCTTTTCAACAACTAATGCATTTTTTTTTATCTCTTCTGACTTATTCCTAACTGCTTTTTGTCTAATTTCTACAATATATCGAGACGAGGTCGACAAGTTGCAGATCAGTTACGTCTGAACTAGCCTTCACACCCTTTCCTAGAGTAACTCGACGATCTTCCTTATCAGAGCTCTTACATCTCTCACTATATTGCTTTTTCTTTTAAAGAAGATCAATATTCCCTAGGCTCTCTCCTAGAAGGTGGCGGATGATACTGGGCTGACGGCTCAATTGGCATTGTTTCTTACACTTGTCTTGCGGGATGATATCGGTCTTGAGCTTTTCGTTTTCACTAGTAGTAGTGGGTTATTAGGATTCGGGAGGCAATCTACAAGGAGCTTTGCTATGAGTTCTTGTCGAAGATTCACTTCGACAAGGATTCAACGCGATTGGCTGATCCATCGGTTCTTAACTTTCATCTGGGAGGCATATCCCACTCCTGCAGCCTGATCGAGTTGGGGAGGCGTCTAGGGATCTATAATACCAAGGAGACTCCGAGCCCTCATTTTATACGTATCTTGAGAGTTATATTACTGCTCCACCACATGAGTACAACTAAATTCAAGTCTGGGCTCATGCTCGGGGGACTTAAGTCTCCAAGACAGCCAAGGAGAGTGCCTTCCATTCTCCTATCTATCGGTTCATCCACCGGTTGGTCGCTTCTACCATTTTGTCACAAAGAGGAGTGTGGCAAGGTTCACTTGGGGTGACCTCTTCTACTTGTGGTACCTCACTTAGATGGAAATTTACCTTCATCTTCATTTTGTTCTTGCTCTCTACTTATGTAGCATGTCTCTAGGGTCTACACCTTCGAATAGGATCAGCAAGGGTCATTAGATTACTAGGTTGGCCTTATCCTATATGGTTAATATTAGTGGGATGGTCCATATACCTATTCATGATCTGACTACTACCGCTCTCGGGGAGATGCAGATACTATTTCGGGAGGTGGACCAACCTTGGAGGATTTCAGAGGACGACATCATGGAGCGAATTCAACAGGTGGAGTCGGAGGACATCCTTAAGATTTCCTTCATTAGGTGTCAGAGGCCTAGATACACAGAGCCTGACCAGTCCATGCCGATTTTGCGTGATGTAATGCAACATTTACTTGCTGCATAGGAGGAGCATCGTTGGCTTATGGCTGCGGTCTTTATGGTGTTGTGACATCTAGGAGGGATCTTCCACCTTTTCCTAGGGCGGATCCTTCTGTTCCACCACCTTCTCATCCATGAGGCATGGGTCATAATGTTTTCGGTCCTTCAGGAACTCACCCTAAAGAAACTGATGATGATGATGAGACACAGAGGACGAGGAGGCTGAGTACGAGAGCATCGACAAGTAGGTTGAAATTTTTGGGCTTGATACTTTGTCTTTTGATACTTATGACGTATTTTGATATGCTTTATGTATATTGGTTGTATTTTTCTATTTATGATTTATGTTTTATTGTTTATCTATCCCAGTTTAGTCGATGTATTGGTTCATTCAAGTCTGAACCTAGTTGATCAAGAGATGCTTAGGAGTGACTCAACATCTACATATTGAATTATCCTTGATATCTGTGTTATGTATGATTTGTAGATGCTATTTGAGATTGGAGATTATTATTGTTTTGTACCTCTAGACTATTTAGGGTTCAACCAGGTAGGAAAAGTCAGTAGACAAGACCATTTTGGTGTATAGTTGTTCTAAAGTCCAACAACCTAAGACGACAGTTCCAGCCTAGGCACCTTTCTAATATGTAGTTTATCAGTAGAGAAATTAATAGTATTACTTTTATTTTTAGGTTTGAGGACAAACTGAATCAGAGTATATGTCCTAAGCTATGGTCATAATTCTTAAAGAAATACTAGTACGCTATAGCTACTAGCTCTGATACCAATCTGTCATACCCTCCCCGGCCAATGGCAGAAAATGTCGAGTTGTGACGATATAAAGATTTCCCAAATCACAGAGCGCCAATCATTTGCCTTTACTAAATGAAATCCACAAGCCTTTATGTCGGTAATCCTTTCCTGACTTGATCTCTTACACTTTCCTAAGAACACAAGTAATTTTTGAAAATGTCAACATAATATTGGTGATTGCACAGTTTTTTAGAGTTTTCGGCTTTTATATGGTAGTATTAGTTTAAGAATCTTTTTTTCTTTCAAAAAAACCTTTCCTAAAGTAATTTATCAACCATACCTTACTATCTTTTAGGATATTTATCGATCCTATGTTATTATCTTTTAGGATATCTAATGATCTTATATTATTATCTTATTAGGATGTATTTTATAATACTAATTTATTATCTTTGTAGGATATCTAACGATCCTAACGTATTTTATGTACCATTCTATGTCGTTCCTTATGGTAGTTTAAACTCAAAGGTTATTTAATGTATTACCATGAGCCCCCATAATCAGTGTTGTTTGACTAATAATCGAGTCCCTCCACGACGCTTCATCGGGCGTTGAATCGTAAATAATAAGAAAGTTAAGCTGTCGGGATTGTAGCTAGCAATCGCATGTGGGGTTATCAGACCTCATATAGATCTATACATATCTTTCTAACTCTCACAAGATCAAGGATTATAGGTATATGGGGAATACTAAATTTAGTCAAGGCATTTGGATGAATTAACAGCTCACTAACGAATTAACCTTAAGTATTTATCTTTTATCTTTTTTTCTAAATCCTTCCTAAGGATTTTCTATTATTGTCACAATATAAATCTTTTATATTATATTTAATAATTATAACCTTAGATTTCATAATTATTATATATATATATATATATATATATATATATATATATATATATATATATATAGACACACACACACACACACACACACTAATTATGGTTATTTGAAAACAAAATAATTGGACAGAGTAACAACTAAGTACGGTGCATATCCCTAAATTTGACCAGCATACACTACTAGAAAAAAGGCCTTTTACGACGCTCATTGCGCGTCGTAAAACGCTCAGACGACGCGCAAATGTGTGTCAAGAAAGGCCCTGTCATAAAGAGAGACGACGCGCTTTTGCGCGTCGTCTATAGACGACGCGCATTTACGACGCGCATTTATGACGCGCATTTACGACGCGCGGTTATGACACGCATTGCGTATCAAGGAAGGCCCTGTCATAAAGGTAGACGACACACATTTGCGTGTCGTAACCTTACGACGCGCGTGTTTATGACACGCAACGCGTATCAAGGAAGCCCCTGTCAAGAAAGGCCATGTCATAAATGAAGATGACACACATTTTTGCGTATCATAATTTTAAATGTTCTAAAAAAAATATTTATATATTTATTAATTTTTAAATTAAATTTGCATTTAATGTCTCATAATAGAAATAAAATATCATATACAAAAAATACAATCCATTGCATAAAATTTAATGTCATACAATTCTATTTTTTACAATATCTAAATTTGCATCTAATCTACTCTCTACATCAAATTCCAGCTAAGTAAAGTTGCATCTTGCCTTTCATAATTCTTTAAGACTAGTGTTGCAAGATTTGAATCAAGTGGCTTCATATTCGTTTCTTCCACCAACTTTACCTGATGCACAAAATACACAGAAACAAAAAAACATTGTAGAGGAAGGGGTAATTTGGGAAAATGTGAGGGGTATCCTTTGCAAAACAAAACAAAAAATATCCTTTGCAAGATTTGCTCTTTAGTATCCTCTGGAAAACAAAATAAAAAATGTATATCAAAAAATTAAATTTTTTATAGTTTTATATTATAATACACAAATAACTAAAAGTAGGTTGCTATTTCTTAAAAAGTAATTCAACTTTGGCATATTATAGCTTACCTTCTCTGTTGGTGGCAACTGCAATGAGTTCTTTCACAGCTATATCAGAAACAAGATAAAACTACAGAAAAAAAATGTAGTTTAACTCAGCAAATGATAAACCAATAGTTGGTAATTTATAATCTTTCTTTCATCATACAATCTTTATTCTTTAGGTATAATGTATTTATTAATCCAACAATATTGACATTATGCATAACTTGAATTCAAATATAAATTGGACAAGATATAATGTCTTTCTTAAGCAAGTAGTTCAATATGCTACCCCACTATCGTTGACTATTAAAGAAATTAGGGCCAAATCTAACAGTAGAATGTTTATGACAATTAAGGCCTCGTTTGGAAGCCAGCAACAGTAATACAAGCTAGAAAAGAGGGAACAGGTGGTGTTTTTAAGTTATAATTTTGAATAGAAAAGGCAAAACTTCTATAACAACTACTAAAGCAACTGAAGTTAATATCATGATGCCTTCCTCAGATCCTGATGCTGATCTGGTATGCTTGCTTCCAATTTATTTTTCTTAGAAAACTTTCTAGAGGTACTTACATCATTTGCACACACAAGAGATTGAAAACAAGTCCTGGTCAAAGTTTCTGCCAAATATACAAAATTTGTATGTTATTATCGTACAAAATATAGAAAAAAGGTGAATATCTAATTTTTATTAGCTGATTCTTTCTATATCACATGTCTCACCTATTATCAATAAAATCTAAAACCTAAAATGATCAATTTTTAAATAAACGAATTGAAATTGGGACGTGTAAAGATGTTTGTAACTTTTATGGTTTGTAACATGTCACAATGGTTAAATTGGAAAAATGTTTGTAACTTTTATGGTTTGACAGGAAAAATATAAAGTATAAGTGGTTTAACAGCAAAATTGGTCAAAATATAATGATTTTTTCAATATAAAGATAAATGTAGGAGCATACTCTGAAATATTTATCATGTTGTCTACATCATTGGTGAACAAATGCATCTTTTGTGCTTGATAGAATATTCTTTTAGGGGACAAATGTAATGTGTAATTAGGAATCTCCTTAAGATACCTGTGTAATCTTTCAAAATTCCTGTATCAGTTGATAAAATGGAAAAATAATAAATAGAAATATTTGCTACAATAAGTATGAAATTTAAAGGGTAGTTAAAGAGATTAGTAATAACACCTTTTCACAAACCAAGTTTTGTCATCAACATCAGTCACTGCAATAAGTATGAAATTTAAAGGGTAGTTAAAGAGATTAGTAATAACACCTTCTTTTTCTTTTTTGGTTTGTTTGATAGTTCTGTCATGTCAAAGTGCAGCTGCTTTTCATATTCTCCAATAGATTCTGCTTCCATATTATTTGGTATCTGATATGCACAATGTAAAGAACTTTGTTCATCCTGAAAGGAATTCGTATCACCACTTGAAGCATATGCTCTATTTGGTGCCTGATTCATCAAATAATCAAAAAGTCATAAGCACATTCAATTACATTGAGCTAAAAAGGTTTTGCATAAGGGAGCAACAATAGTCGACATGACTGTCACTGTAACCCTAGCACCAAACTATCATCTCCCACTAGATGGCACATCAACAGTAAGAAATCTATTTTTTAATATAATTATTTAAACTTAGACTGATAATAAGTTTTTTTTTTATTTTACTGAGAAAAGGTAAAAGACCAAGTGCAAACCTCTAATCTAACATAATTGTTTTCTTTATTGTCCTGTGCAGCTTCCTATTGCCATTTTCAAGAAGTTACTTCATAGATGATGGGTGAAATAGGAAAGCTTAAATACCAAAACTTGCATATCTTACATTTTGGATCTGATCATGAATCTTGTCTTCTCTAAACTTCAACATCATCTTTGTGCACTTATTGTCATCCTCTCTTTGACGAACCTAAAAGTAAATTTCAGTTTTAAATACAATATGCTAGTGATGTCATATTATAGACCAAATTGGATAACAATTTACCAGTCGATTTAACTGTTCTATTTCTGCTTCAAGTTGTTTAATAGAAGCTTCCGACATTTGATCTCTTCTCAAGGCTCCAGTCAATTAAGTCTCTAAAGATTTCAGCTGAGAAACAGAATGAATACAAGTAAATGAGAACCAAAATGGTAAAATCATCAAACAACAAGGTTTTGTCGTCTTTGTAGTATCTAGTTGAAAAACAAGTATAAATAGTAGCTAATCGTTATAATTTCTTGTGAATTAGCACAATGAAATAGTAGGTAAAACATGAAACCCCCTAAATATTACTTAGTATACCTGTTTAGAGGAAACCTTCAGGATTTTGTTATCATGTCTAGTGCAATCATTCTCGTGTTCTTGGGTAGCCTCTTCAATGACTTTTGGACCAAATGCTAAAGACCTGGATATGTTGTTCCTCTTAAGGATAGCAAGCTCCTCCTGACTGAATAAAAAGATGGTTATTTCATAGAATATGGATACAATTTTATTGGGTTTGAAAAAATAACAACAGAAGAAAAGAATTACCTTTAGCGGTTGTATTTGCTGTTGAAGCACCATGATATCTCCGGAGGCATCTTCATTTACAACACCCTTGGAAACAGAAAACAAGATGAAAAGTTTAAAAATCGTGCTTTGAATAAGATCAAAAAATTAAAAGTTTACAGTATTCACCTGTAGAAGAAATGTCAATCTTGAATCTCTATAAGGAACATGACGTGTCCTTGCATTAGCACCATCTACTAGAACCATTATCACATGACTAGAAAGATAGATTTCGTGTTACAAATATGAGAGGAAAACAAAACAAGAAAAAGTACAGCAAATAAAGTTGTTCATACCCTAGGGTAGATAATGATTTGTTTATATTTAATTTGCAGCTTCCTTTAATCATTCACCTTCAGCACCCGAAGTTTTTTGTCTATTAAGACAAAAGGAAAAGGTTTGATGAGTAACAAAACAAGAAACTATAAAAAAAAAGATTGTAATCAAATGCAGCACCTTTTTGAACCAGCCAGATCAACAAGATTCAGCCTTGCAAATCTAAGGTTAGATGTCGAGTCTTTCTCCCACCTACTTTCAATCACACACGTGAAAACACTGTCATTGCTTTGATACCCTTTAAAGTTGCAAGTGCAGAATCTAAAGCATTCACTTTAGGGATATTTCCTTTCTTTAGATTTTTGTATGTGTTAATAAATGGTTCAAGGGTAAGAAAATCTTCCAAAGCAAATGAATCACCATTGACTGCTAAGTTGACCACAGCACTAGCCAATTGGTTCACACTTTGGGTACCAGAAAGTACATTTGCCTGATCGATTTGTGTCTGCAAGAGAAGGGTAGAACTCCAATCAGAAACAAAATCATTCATGGGGAGATTTTCGTCTTTTAACAACAACTAAGCTTTTTCTAACAATTTCAACATCGAAGAAACAATGAAGAACAGGACCACCTCCGATTAGGGCTTTTTCTACTGCTACTTCTTCACCATCTTCTATTTTTTCTGTATTTAGACTTGAGAGTATAATTAGGGCTTTTTCTAACAATTTCAACATTGAGTGGGAGATATGGTGGTTCCAGTAGGTAGAAGTGAGGGAAGAAGTAAGCAGCAGTCAATGTCGGGAGGGGGAAGGAAGGAGCGTCCAGGGCAAGAGGGAAAGGAGAAAAAAAAGGAAGGCGGGATTTTTAATTTTTTCAGAATTTCATTTCCCCCTACTGTTAAAGGATGGAACGCGCGTTCCATTAAAAATTATAAAGCGACATCCTTAGACGACACGCATTTTATTATAGGTTCCCTCCGTGTTTTTTTTAGACACTAATTTAAGGGCGCGCAATAATGCGTGTCTTCTATCCTTAAATTTTTTTGAAGAGATGACATTTTTCTAATGTCACTCTCCTTTGCGTAACATAGATCAATGAGCGTCGTATTTTGCACGTCGTAAAAGGCCTTTTTTCTTGTAGTGATAACTTCTAGGTACTACGTTATCCTTAGGAATTGATCATTATAACATCTATGTATTTTCTCTTCCTAGAATGTCGGGCATCATATCTATTACGTATAACATCATAGCTTATAAGTAGGCATATATCTATAGCTACAATATCCAAAGGCTTTAAGCATTATAAAATGATTTGATATTTATAACGATAAATATATTTTGATAAAACCATTTGATAAGCATGTATTCCCCTCGTAAAACATCTAACATATAATGTTAGTGAGTTCATAAACATGTTTGAGTAAAATGTTTTGTACTACTTTGTAAACACCATAAAATCTAACATTTTCTTAAAAAAAAGGTTTTGAAATGTTTGCATCTGATCTTGTATTAATGCGTGTGTGTTAATGTTTGTGAGTGAATGAAGTGAATGATCCCAGACAACCCGATGTTGTCTGTTTATAAAACGTTGTGATCTCAACACCCTAAGACTGAGTACTAGTGCATGTATGTTACCGTGTTATCAACATATGTTGTATTCTGTAAATTTTATAATGGAGTTAATTTTTCTATGTAAGTCGTTATAACCATACTTAATAATGACTAATCGGCCTGTCATGACGTCTTTCGGACGCCGACGTGTTTTAGGTAAGGTTTGTCACCCTAGACTGGCCTAGTATAACTGTAGCGAAGAACTCAGGTGTGGGGTGTCACCCCCATATAGATCTATACACAAACTCCCGCTCCCCTTCCAGGATACTCTGGTTATAACTACAGGTTACAGTTGTACTCTCGATAGGTGCCAAACGAAGTGTTTCACAAGATCCTTAACTAAATTTACGCGAATATGGAATTGCACACTGTATATTGTTTCTGTGTAAGTATTTAGTTTTCAAAACCCAACGAGTACGTATGTGAATGTGTGAAGTCAACAAGCATGTAGATGGACCACTAAGGCCCAATAAACATGTAAGATATATTCCAGGTCTAATATACATGTAAAAGGACAATTAAGGCCCACTAAACATGTAAATTATATTCCAGACCCAATAAACATGTAAATGACATAATTGATCCGTTGTTGTTACTGGTTGTTAAGTTTAGTTGTTTACCCAAATGACATAAAGGGCCTAGTTTTTGTCAAAAATACATTTTTGGTCCTTAAAACCAAAAATTTACTATTAAGGCACATTTTTAGTAAAAATGACACTTTTGGTCCTTTAAAAGAAAATGTTTACATTTAAGGGGTTGATTCGCGTGGAATAACATGTTTAACCCCACTTTTGTAAAAAAAAAACACTTTTGGCCTCAAATATATGAAAACTGACATTCTCGGCCCAATTATGCACAAATTTATCTTTTTAGCCCAAGATTTAATAAATTTACATTTTCAGCTCTTTTCAACCGAAAATTTACATTTTTGGCTCAAATTTGTCTAAAATGACACTTAAGTCCACAAAATCCCAAAAATTTACATATTTATCCCAAAACCGGGAAAGCTCAAAATGATGCCAAATTGTGAAAGTTTACACTTTTAGCCCTTACAAAATTATAAATATTATAAGGATCCATATTTACTCAAATAAATCCTTTCAAAACCGTAAGTTATGCATACTAGCTTCACTTTTTGATTATTTTGTCATTTTTGGCCCTCTTATGTAATTTTCTTAGTTTTAAACCTTTTCTTTGCATAATATGTTGTATCAAGTGTTATGTCCACAAATATCATCATATTCTTGTAAATTTTCAAGTTCATGAAGTTTATAACACATAATCAAACTTATATCATGAAAAACACACAAAATCATGCATGTACACATAGATCTACACAAAACAACTTGTATTCTCCCCCAAAACATAGGGAAACCCGAAAATAGGGGGTATGAACTTACATTGGTTTGATGATTTCGGTTTTTGATGAAGAATGAGAGAGATCTCGGCCCTAGTAAGCTTTCTTGAGTAGATCTCGAACTTATGTGGTTTCTATGGAAGATAGATCATGAAATGATGTGTTAAGAGAAGTAAGTTTAACATAAAAATGAAGTTAAACCCCTTGAGTGGAAGTAGCTTACCAAGATGAGTGGATTTTGGATGAAGTGCTCGAACTCACACAAGCGCACATGATTTCTTGGAGTTCTTGGAGGAATATGAGAGGAATTCTAGTATGTGTTTCAAGTTGGAGTGAGAGTGGTGGTGAGGAGTGATTCTCGACCTAGGTTAAGAAGAAGAGGGAAGAGAAAAGTGAGAAAGGTAATGTATGGATGCATGAGATCTCCTAGATACTTGTGAGGTAAAATGCATGGATAACCAAGGGATAATAGTGAGGTGTCAACTAATTATTACCATGGAATTTTTGTTTTATATATGGACGAGAATTTGGGATGGGAGGGAAAAGAAATTTGAATGTTGGGTTAGAATTGGGACAACAACCGCAAATGTATGTCCTAATAAGTAAATTTTCGGCCTATTGGGCCCATATGAGAGTTTACGGCCCAAAAATGATAAAGAATTGGGTTTATGGCCCAATAAGGCCCATAAAAAGTCGTATGACCTAAAATATTATTGTTTAATAAATATGGGTCCAGTTAGGTCCCATATAAAGATTCTTAGCTCAAAATAACCAAGTTGTGAGTTTATTGGCCCATTAGGCCCAATAAATGATTTCTAGCCTAATAGGGGTTTGAACTAGGAAGTTAGGGTTTCAAACACACAGTTGAGTAAATGAGATGTATTAAATCAAGTTTTGAACTTCACGAGTGAGATTTGATTCAAATGATTGATTTTGAATGAGTATAGTACATGACATCAATTTATATTACAAGTTATACAAGAGTCGATTAAAGGTAGACAGAATTTCCTAGCCAAAAATGCTAGTTGTGACAACGCGCACCTGGAATGCACTCCAAAATCGTTTATAAAATTCCTATGTTCCTTATATGAATCTTCGTCTTAGCCTCTTTATATATATATATATATATATATATATATATGTGTGTGTGTGTGTGTGTGTGTGTGTGTGTGTGTTGCTCTCTACTAGTACTATATCTTCCCTTAAGGCCGCGTTGCCAAATTTTAACTTTCCTTTTAACCCATATATTATATTTTTTAAAAATTGTATCTACTTCATACGAAATCTGGTTTTGACCTTTTTTCATTTCAAAGTCTTTATCTCATGAATTACTACGATTTTCTTTTTTGTGACATTAGCCGAAACTCAACCGATCTCTTTATGTTATTTTGACACTATTAGCGCAGTTAGTTTTTATCTTTATAAAATTATAACCCATTCAATCGGATTCAGATATTTGAAATACTTTTATCCTTGGGATCACTTTCTTGTGTATTTTCCAAATACACTAACCGTCATAAAAAGTGGCATAACTTTCTGATCATTGATTTTCGACCTTATTATTTAACTTTTCATATTTCCCTTCAATATAAAAAGTTATATCATTATCATGAGTTGATGCTAATCATTAATGAATAATGATAATTGATGACAGAAAATTACAAATTTTTACATGCAAAGTGTTATAAAACAAAGGTTTTCATTTCGACGGAACATACATTAAAAACGATAATAAGTATAGTTTTTGGAAATATTTACACTACTTTACCCTTTTGGGACAAAGAAATAATTATATAAAAATATAATTATTTTTACGCTACGAAAAGGTAATACATACATTTACAAGAAAAAAGGATTTTCATTTCATTTGACATAAACCTGTTAATTAATAAATTTGTGAGACACGTCTTCAAGTACTTATATAAGTAACAACAAAAGTCTTGTATTATAACTAGCATTTCCTGGAAGGAAAGCGTGACACTTATGTATAGATCTATATGCCACTGGCAACCCCGCACCTAAATTGTTAGCTATAGTTAGACCGGCATGTTTGAGGTGACAAATGTCATAACATTCCGACGCCTGAAGAACGTCGTCACATGCCAACTAGTCGCTAGCATGGTTGTAATAACTCACATGGGGTATTAACAATACATTTTGGTTTACAGGGCTAACAAACACTTAAAGTGTTTTATATACGTATAAAACTACATATACTATTTTGGGAAAATGACACACACGCCCTATAAAGTTTCTAGGGTTGATCTTTTTAGTCCCTAAACAATTTTTTTGGCCTTATAAGGGAACGAAGTTGTGTTTGTTGGGTCGATTACATCCTTTTGGCCAAAATGAAGGAGTCACCTGGTTACTTCTTTGACACATTGTGAAAGTCAACTTTTCTATGGATTACTTGGACTTTATGAAAGTCAACTTTTCCCTCCCTCCCACTGAATTGTAATCGACTCCAGCACCCACTATCGTGTTCTCTTGGGCTGCCAACACAACCCACACCCACCCATTATCATTATTGTTGCCGTGGATGGAGGTCTACATACTGTATGCCAAAACGACCCGCTTTCAAAG